TAGAATGAATGCTCAGAAGTTTTCCTTTGTAGGAGTGCTGCAGAAATCTTTCGACGCCGATGCTGTAAACCGGCATTGGCGGCTGGGCTTCCACCCCACGGTCGGCCGCCCAGCTGTAGCTGGGTGCCCAGCACACCAGAGAATAAAACTAGGAGCAGTGACGGGCATGAGGGCCTCAACGCAGAAAGAGAAATATCAGTTCGGAGTCATTGCAGACAGTGGAGCTGCCATGAAGCGTATGAGAAGCGTCTTGTTTTCTTTGCAAGTCTGTCTTGGACTGTCATGTTGACACCCTCCCCACCAACGAAAATGTGTACGTAGGCAGAAAGCCTTGTCCTGAACACGAGCAATCTTGCTGACATAGCCCGGCTCCAGGTAGCGTATAGGCAGCTGCTGACACACGCACGTCCCAACAAACAACGTTACACTGCAAAAGAGTTTAGCAGAAGATCTGCCCCGCTAGCTGTCAGCAAGATGACGTAACTGCACAGGTGAAACTATAAAGGCTGCAAGATCCCTGTCCATGGTCACTGCGCAGCGGCTCGTCATGAACTTCATGAATTTCGGGGCAAATCTCCTCAGCTCATGGCTACTGTCCAGGACTAAGTTAGGTCCCTTTGTCAGCACAAAAAAAGTGTGTGCAATGATTCAGGCTAAGCTTTTTGATATCTGGACTCCCCAGGTCTCTATGCTCTGGACCTGAAAAAGGTCTAATATCATTACAGTACACCACTCCGACAACGATTCCAAGCGCGGCATTGGCAACCCTAACGAAAATCACAACAACATTACAATGATTGCTCTCAGATAGTCATGCATTCCGATGCCTACTACAAACCTGGAGCTGCAAGACAGCAAGTTGAGGCAGGCTGCGGCGCTACTCCTCCTTCTTTCCAGCAGCCTTTGCCTTAACAAAGCAAGATGTATACCAGGAACCCAAGGGATGCTTTTAAAGACTTGTTGTCTTGGGGATCAGATAGCAGTGGTGGTACTAATTCCAGGAGGCACAGCATAAGGAGCACCATCATCTCTTCTTCCATGGAGGCTAGGTGTGCGCTACAGTAGCCCCTGCAAAGCTGCAGTTTGTTATGCCATTGGCATAGGACGATTGGCTTCTCGGAAATTTAGTTTGCTCCACCGTGCTTTTGAGAAATCAGGTAGGACCAAATTTTGCTTATAAATGCAAAAAATGAAAGCCTGATCATGAGGGACCCCCAAGGAGGGGCAGGACAACACAACTCTTGCAATCTAGCTGCTCTTCATGTTACAAGTTAAGTTGAGCGGTGTCCCAGGTCCTTTGAACCTTCTGCTCTCGTATCAATCACTATCGCGGAACATCGCGAGCGCTTACTGTTCTTTTGCACTGACGCGAGCTATCGTGAACGAGACTGTGCCTGCAGAATACTCACGCGCACCGACGGGCACCAGTTTGTGCAACATCCACCATCGATACCAGAACCCTCTTGCCAAACTCCTCCATATGGGTTTATGCTGCCGCTTTCCGAAGACACCCGCACATGTGGAGAGATCGGGGCCTCAAACAGAGAGCTCCGCAGCTGTTTTCGAGCTCCTGAGTCCGCGGCCTTGCCCGTCGCCCCCTGCAACAAAACTGATCTAATAGATCCAGAAATTTTGCCGCATGCATCTTCGTGCAAAGGTTGCCTATCTGCCTGGACCGACCATACCAACTTCATACTCGCAATGCATGCCGTCGACCCTCTGCGCAGTCCGTGCAGATCCATCGTATGTCCCTCTGCATTCTGGCATCGACTGCGCTCACCATCCCAGGCGATTATATAGAGAAGTTTGTCCAGGCCTTCACGGCTTTCAACATCCCTCGAGTGATGGGGATAAACCTCAGAACTCCGGCAGCGTGTGCGAGCAAATGCTCCTGAAAGCTGCCTACCCGGACTGAAGCGGAGCAATGCTCTCAAGCTGCGCTGGCTTCATGAAGAGCCAAGATCCCGGCCAAGTGATCGACAACAGAAGCAGAATCAGAGTGACACTCGGGTAGAGATATCCTGAGTTCAACGATTAATTTTTACATGAGGAGATTCGCGTTTAGAACAGGGGCAGGCTTGCCAGGAACCCATCTGGCTCACAATCTTACCGGTTAGTAGGGAATATATGTTACTTTTGCTCCCTTCTAACGCCTAGTAAGCAATTTGATGGTCGCAAACCTTGGGCCTTGCGGTATCAGCTGGCCTGTGCCCCAAACGGTCTGAAACCCCTAATTCCAAAACCCCCTAAACCCCTAAACGAACCATAAGCCCATGAGATGAAAAGTGCTCAACTGATAGGATTTAGGGTTTAGGGCTTGGGATTTAGGGTGTGGGATTTAGGGTTTGGGATTTAGGGTTGCGGGTTCAGGGTGCAAAGCTACAACTTTGTTCACAGGAGGCATTGTCATGAGAAGAGATCTCAGGACAATGAGCAACGTGTCGGTGCATATAATGCTGCCCTGCTCTGGAGAATTGTCCATGGGCCTCTTTCTTTCCTGGTTTACTGTAGCAGCATCAGGTCACAAGCATAGACCAGAATATTCAGGATCTAGTTTGATAGCATCTAATTGCCTAGTTGTCTAGCTTCAGCTGCCAGAAGATGTTTGCCCATCCACCCGGCAGAGGCCTCTCCAATCGCTCGCGCATCTCAAAGGTGGATTCAGCAGTCATTCTACAATTCTGCCTCTTCACAGGACGCATGAAGAATTTACCGGATGAATGTGACTTCGGGGCGCTGCCCGAGCAACAGGCGGAGAGCATGTTGGAACAAGTATTTGGATGTATGAATGTCAACTCACCCCAAATCCCATGCTGTACTCTTTCCCAACAAAGCCACACTCCTTTCCAGCCGATAGCTTGTGGTTGCAGCCGTGTGGCTCTCTAAGTCTGTTACGACGGCCGAGCTCTTCGAGGGAGCTTGCTCCATGTCCTTGAAGAACATGTACAGCCTGGGCAGCCATTCCAGGACCCCAATGCACTGTGACATCTGCGTGTGTCATCAACATCTTGCTACTTGCTCTGTCGCCTTTCTCCTCTGCCCATGTCTGCAAGACTTATGTTTTAAAGAAAAACCTCCAGCTTATCTGAGGCCTGAAAAACAGAACCTTAGGAATTTGTTGGCTGTCTGTCTGCAGCGCAAAAAAAATGTCCTGTCGCTTGGAAGCTCCTTGGGAGGTCGAAAAGACTTAGCAAGTAGGTGAAGAAGTGGGATAACTAGCTCATACTTGTAGGGGTTACAAATATACTTCCCAAGCCCCCACAAGACGCTCCAGGTATGCCCTGAGTCCTGGACCAGGCCGGGAAGAGCACAAGCCTGCAGGAAACCATCCACACGCAATCTTTCAACCTTATTTACTGGTGGTTAGTAGGGAATAGGGGACTATACGCCGCGTAAAATCCCTAGTTCCCCACTAGATGCCAGGAAGCTTAGCATGCCAAGCTTCGAACCAGTTTTTCCAGTAAAAACAGCACTTCAAATATTCCAAATAAGTTGGAAATACCCACCCTGCCGGATGCAGCCGAACTCACCTAGAATGCTGCTCGAAGTGTTCAGGGGTGGCTCTTGGTGATAGAAATGAACGACGCAGAAGAAGCCAAGCTGGCCATGCTGCTCAAAAAAGAAAGCGCACCTCGCGAATAGAAGGACAAGCTGCAAAGAAGGCAAGGACAGCTTGACAGCCATAGGTGTCTGGGCTGGTTTCTGGCTTCGTGAAGAATCTCGGGATGTTGCGTTAATTGTGGTGGTTGCGACAGCATGCCATTCGCCTGAAGGCAATGAAGGCCAGCCAGAGGAGCACCCCGTTCACGGCAGTAACCCACGCTGGGAGGAACTCCTGTTCGGCGTCGTGCCCATAACAAAGCCCCTGCATTTCCGCAGCAAGTCCTTTAGCCGCTTTCCATCGATTTTCACGTCGTTGAGCATGTACAAGTTGTTCCTGAGAAGCAGCGCATGCTGATTCTGAGCTCTCCCGTATTTTATGCCACTTGTTCGCGTTTCTTTGCACATTCTGGAGTGCACTCTCCAAATGTCTTGCTCATTTCTGGCAGTTGCCATCTGAAAATTGACACATGATCTCACCTGCTGCTATCTTGCTTTCGTGGCCCCGCTGATCTGCTTCATTGCAGCCCAAGGTCAGGAAAATGGTCGTGAGCTCACAGCACCCATCAAGGCAGCCATAGAAGTGGCCTCAAGTAGCACAGATCTAATCATAAATCGGCCCTCCCCCCGTAACTAACCCCCGTACCATTACATATTAGGAGGAATATGTATTACTAGGGGGTTTTGGGGGGTCACTGTTGCGGGAAAGGGGTTATCTTGTCCCAAAGCTTGGAAGTGGGGCAAAAGACCTCCATCTGCAGGTAAGCCAAAGTGTAAGCAAAGTACAGCGCCCGTATGCAAGGCCGATGGTATAGGCTCCCATACCTTGGAAGTTCATCAAACTGCACACGTGTACATCATGTGTTCCTATCTGGACTCATGTGCCGCACAGCCCCACAGCCGCGTGCCCTCAAGCTTGCCTACAGTTAGCCTACAACGGCATTTTGGGCAAATGCTCTGGCGAAATGCGCATCTGCCAATGCCATGCATGAGCAAGAGCAATTTCCTTTTCCATCCGCACTGCAAAGGCGAGCGACCAAAAGTCGCTGGGCCTGAAATGACGTGAGTGGGTACCATGTCCTTCAGCTGTTGCAAATTCGATAAGACAGAGCTCTCGATTTCTCACGACTTACGATATAAAAAAGTACGGGCACGCAGCATCAGCGGCATCAACTGAGGGAAGCAGCCCAGCCACATCACAGCAGATAAATCCAGAATTGGCATCAGATTGCGGCTTCTTTGCAACAAAGTGCCAGACTCTCTACATGAATAGCCGGCCAAGGATTGAAGCCTCCTCTTCTGGGCCAAGCTGGTTGCATGGTTGGGCAGTTCTGAGCAAGGCACGAACATGCCCATCACACACTATCGGTGGCAACCAAGCCATAAACTCGATCCGTCGCTCAGACAATGGTCTCGATGCCCCCGCAGGTGGAGTCGTAGTCTGCACAACAATCTCCATGCTCCTTGCCACAACAGATTCATTTGTTTAGCTTCGGGTTTTGTTAGCTGCAAGTGGAGGTGCTGATTGGATTAGCGTTCTGACAATTGAACCAGCGCTCCTTGCAGTAAGAGTTGCACTGGCAGCTCTGACCCGGGCTGAACCTTTCCGAATCCGCATCGCAGAAACTGCAAGTGTCATTTCGTCTGCGCATGCAGAAGAAAAAGCTTTTCACAGCTTGCTCAATCTCTAGTTCCTTTGAAAACAGACTCTCTCACCATTCTTCTCCATCTGTGCTTTCGGGGTGCTTGCCGCAGCCGAACTCCTCGCAAGAGCCTTTGGATGGCCCCGAGCAGGTCTTCGAGTAGTCAGAGCAGCAGTCTGAATGCTCCTAGCCCAGGGTCGTGCAATATTACACCTCGAGCACTATTACACAGGTCGCAATTGCCATGCATACAAATAAGTAGATAAATATATATATATATGTATATATACATACATAGAGAGGGAGAGGGACAGAGAGACTCCACTTCCATGCTTGCAACTTCACCCCGCACCGCGGTTGCTCCTTGCAGTAGGAGTTGCACTGACAGGTGTGACTGGGGTCATACCTGTCATCAAAAGCTGCCCGACAGCATAATGGAAGCAGTGAAACCTCAGACACCACCCACGTGATCGCAGTGGCTTTCGTCGCACACTTGCCTGCCGCATCCATACTTGGAACACGAGCCTGCGACCAGTCATCTCATTACGTGCTGTCATTGACTTGTTGCTGCTTCAGGGGCCGTGGATCCCTAATTATGTCCATATAATCCAAGAAAAAAATGCACCTAGACCTAAGTTCCCTCCACACTTCTTCCCCTTCGGCAGCCGTAAGACTCATTGAACAAGGGCCAGGCTGAAGAGTGGCTGCTTGACTCTCTTCCACAGCAAGACAACTTCCCAACATGCTTTGCAGGCCTCTCTGGCCATCAACACACTAGGCAGGCATATTGCGAAACACTATTGATATAGTGTTGTCCATGATCGCAACTATAGGAGGAACTGGGGTACAACATGTTTTTTGTCCTCCTGCTTGGCCATGGCTTTGACTTGAGCGCCTTGCTACTTAGTTGGCACAATCGCCTTTCGATGGTGGTGACGGCGGTGAGGGTGGTGAGGGCGGTGATGGCGAAGGCCTGTCAGCTCAACGAAGCGCAAATTTTGTTGGTACCAGTTTTGGCCTGCCAATTACACAGAGTGCTAAACCCAAAAAGGCGGACCCTGATCCGCGTGTCACGTTGAAAGAGTGCAGGACTTTGCCGGTGTAGGACACGAATTCCGTCTTCAAGTCCTCCACATGCAAAACTCCATCCATGTGTTGCTTGCGCTACTTTCCCTTCTCGCTCTGCTGGTCGTGCCTTGAAGTCAGCGGAGAACGTGTGCAAGGTGAAGCCTGCGACCTTCTCCTCCCATACTGTCTGCACCTTGCATGGAAAAGATCTGAAAAGTTATTCTGAACTGCCTGAGACCTTCTTTCAAGGGCTCCTTCCCCTGAGGCGGACCTGCGCAAGTGCTCTGCTCTTCGCCAAGTGATCCTCCTCGTCATCTTGATCCTGCCCCATCCCTGTGGGCTGTCCCACATGTTAGGCAGTGAGTCGGTAGCTGACGAATTCACAAGACTGTAAGAGCTTGCTGCCGATGGAGGGCTTGCGAATGCATAGACCCTCCCTCTGCCACGCAGTCCTGTGTGTGGACCATTGCGCCGGCCCCACTAGTGACGTACGCGCCGCCGCCGTTGATGGTGTACTGGTTCCTCAAACATGCGTCCTACGAGAGTCTAGCCTAGCATGTCAACCCTGATGCACATGCTCAAGAGCGAGTTGCCGCCTCTGCTCATGCTGCAGCAGGTACGTAGACATCCAACGAAATATCAGTGCAATCGCCCATGGATGCAGAGTAAGATTACAACAAGCGTTGTATGACAGAATCGCTGGTCACCAGGATTCTGTGGGGTTCCTTTATCTGGAAGCCGTGCGGCAGAAGGTGCGTGTGGCCGTTCAAGTAAAGGTCAAAGCCATGCTCTCTCCTGAGAAAGTCTGACTTCAAACATCTAATAGCCATGCCAGTTTCTCATCATGCAGCTGCCATGCACGCACCAAGCCCGCAACACAGGCTGCCTGATAATCTAACACTGCCGCAACTGTACGTACACTTACGTACACCATGGCTGTCTGTTCAACGAAACAGTCGATCAAGCCAGAAGCCATGGCTCATCGGCGTAACGAAATCCTCAACATCCATCTCATCGGCAGGGTGATGGCCGACAACGATCAACCAATCGGACTTTGGCACCTACCAGGTCATGGTCAGAAGGTCAAGTTTTACCTTGCCAGCATGCTACTCGCAAGCCTGCATGCAAAACAATTGAAAACTTATAGCGTTCTGTAGAGTAAACGTCTCTGGCCTTTGCCAGCTCGGACTTAAACCACTCAAACTGAGTAGTGCAGTTCTGAGACCTCGGCGATAAGACCCGGAGTGGAACCTCTGTAAGCCTTCCTTGGGACCGCACCAAACCAATCCCTCTTCTGACCCCGTTAGACCCTTGCTTTCCTACCGCTTCTGTGGAAGAAGGAGGACACTTGTTCCTGGACAGGTGTCAACCTATGCGTCTGGCCAGGCTGCACGATGTTCTCATGGAACTTGCAGGGCCCCTCCATGATGGGTGCGCATGTTGGGAAGTCGCTGCCGCATGGATCCCAATGAGACCTGAGCCAGAGTTTCTAGAACCTTAAGCACCATTGCAATCTCTCAAGTGAACCAGTTTCTACAATGCTCTCCTATCTGAATAGGGCGGATGAAACTTATCCACGAGTCATTGCTGCACCTGCATGTTGAAAAGCTCCAGCGCACTCATGCACAGTGCCTGTTGCCGAGCTTCAACTTAGCATTACAGCATTACATTGGGCGAATTGTGGACTAGATGAAGGGTCTGCTGCAACCTTTCTCTCAGCATGCACTTTAGCTGAGGCACTGGTCGTCTGATCGATAGGCTGCCACGCACGGGGACGTGTCCAGGAAAATAAATGAGATGAAGTGGCCACTCCTGGGTCTTCGTTGGCGAAATTACTACTGTGACAATGTCCCCTCCGTGTTGTTGTGCTTAAGTCTTCAAGGATGTCAAACTTTCCTCAACGCTGGCGCAGGCTCCCCAAGGAAACGCGCTTGGAGAAGTATCTGCTGTCCATGACCCAGTTGCTTAGCACACCTGGGCTAGTATAAAAGTAGCAACGAGACGAAGTATAAGTCATGGGTAATAATTGCAGTAATAGGCAAAGTACGCATTACTCGTGCAGGAAACCCGACCAGAACTACTGATGATAAGAAGAATCATAACAATAACATCGAAGTAATAGACGTAGTAAAAGTACTAGAACTGAACATCATAGTAATAAGATTCGGAGATGCCCGCAAAGATCCTTACCTCCGAAGATAGCAGTAAACGACAGATCTCGCGATCTCAACCCGGTTTGTTCCCTTGAAGCCAAAGACTTCGCTCAGCATTTAGCCAAAAAATCGTTCAGCAGCATCACGCTTGACACCACTATGTTGCAGTGCCAGGTTGCTGGACAGCTGACACTGGGCCTCCACATCATAACCTTGGTTCCACACATATGTACAGCTTGTGCAAAAGTTGCTCTGCGGAACAATTTTTCGCCGTGGACTCAGTGCGGAACCGTATTCGTGGTTGCCCAGCACCGAGTACCATGGAACCTGTTCCAGCTGGGCTCAAGTGCTCTGGGTTGTCTAGCTTCTTACTCCGAAGGCATCATTGCATGTCTCTACACATCATGCCCCCGTCGTTCTTGAAGATGCGTGTAGTGAAGGGAAACCCAAAAGAAGAAGCATGCAAAGCCTGCCTGCAACGACTTGTCGCTGTACACATTTGTGAAGTCCTCTGCAACTTGATGGTCGGCCGTGCCCATGATCCCACAGTAGTAGAAGTTGTCGCCAGTGTTCACCTCAAATCACCGCAAGCTCAAAGCTAAGTAACGACTCAACGGTACCAGCCAACGTCTCCAAGCCATCTCAAATCTGCTTTTTATTCGCAATTGCAAGGTGAGGCACCACGAACGAAGCACCAGTCTGTGCGGCAGTCTTTGACATCTGCTTTGCTACTGCAGTCACCGTAGTCTGGTGGAAGCTCCCCAGCGCATAGCCACCCCAATCTTGGCAAACAGCCATCAACTAAGACAAGGGGGTGAGCTACGTACGGCGTGTGGCGCGCGCACGTGGGGATGAACGAGGGCTGTTCTGCTTCAACCAAGACGTGGAAAGGGAACCCATACAAACTGGCCTCCCAAGGTCAGGAAGGAGACGGAAGCCTCTGCCACAGCACCAAAAAACCTGGACTTCTGCTGCTGCGGACGCTTCATTCTAGCTCTGAAGCTTTTACTTTCATGGGATGCTGCAGGCATCCACAAGTTGACTGCTTCCAGTGTAGGGCGCGTATTCTTCTGACAAAATAAGGGCCCCTGCGTACAGTCCCTTAGAGGTGGTGGCACCCCAAAAACAAAGAGAAAGCATGCTTAGTACATGCAGCAATGCTCCAAAACCCCGGCCTTAAACCGTAAACCCTGCGGGTCAGCCAGGTGGCCAGAAGTGGCTGGCATACATGATCCAGACAAGGGTGACTGCGCAGATGCGTGACCCGAGATGGCTGCAGGTAAGATGAGCGATATTTGCAGATTTCCAAAGGTCAGGGCTCCATGTTTCTGAAGTGCTAGTAACAGGATTTTTCATTTAGGCCCCCTAATTATGGAAACCCCAATTCTCCCCTACCCTGCTTTGAAACTTGCAGGAGTAGAGGAGTCCCTTTGCTCCCCATTGCTACGAGAAGCAGTCAGGCGCCATGGGGTTAATGCTGCCAGGTTGCTGATTATGTGGTGCACGGACATCATTAACAAGAGCTGCCCTGGGAAAAAGCAAGGCGAAGAACTCATTCAGCCTTCTTTAGCAAGTACACTGCGGGCATAAGGGAAGATAGTATATAGGGTTTATATAGGAATTATATATGTATATACATATACTATACTTGTGCAGTGCGACTCAGTTCTGCGCATCCCTTGCCCAAAGAACTAAGCTGCCCGCAGCTCATGTCCTCAAAGGGCTGCATGACAATGTGCATGAGCCTGAGGCGATGCTTTGCTTCCAAATGTCAGCTCGCCTGCGGCCATTGGACAGGTCCCAATACACTACAATTATGATGCGGAATTATTCATCAGGGGGCCAGCGTAGACCCTGAATCATGGGATTCCTTTCCTTTGTGGCCGAGTGAGGCGCATCCTCGACACATAGAGCACGAGGTACAGTTCGGACCAGAAGTTGACACCCTGCAGCCACAGCGCAGTTTAGGGTTCAGAATATGACTGAACATACATGTCAAAAAATATATATATATATAAATGCATATGCATATCTAAGTCACAATGATTTGGCTGGCCTTCTTCTTCCAACAACAACCACTACTCCTTCTCCTGCTACTACTGCTACTACTGCTGCTACGACTACTACTACTACTACTACTACCACGACTACAACGACGATGACGATGACGATGACGACGACTACCACTACGACGATGATGACGACTACGACTACTACGACTATCCAGCACTGCTACTACTGGGCAAATGGCCAAGCGCCAACTTCAACGCCTGAACCTCATAGATCGTCATGGTATCCATTCACAATTCAGGAGTGCAGGTCTAATCCAGTTCTTCGCAGGAAGGAATGAGCTGGCTTCTAGTAACTGAATTAGCCACCTACGTTCTGGACCCGTCTTGTTTTGGAGGAACTCCTCCATGTATATTTGCAGAGGCAACGCCTGCCATCTCAAGTCGACGTCATCGCGCAGCCCCACGGTGCCAAGCTCAGTCACAGAAGCGGTGGGATTGCTTGGAGGGTCAGGGGGACTTAGTGAGTAGGTTAATAAATAATTGAGTTCCTAAACCCTAGACCCTAAACCATCATGGGGGCTATAAGTATACTTACTATCCAAGTAGATGGTCTTGAGCATGAGGTTCAGGGGACGAAGCCCAAATAATGCACCGTACTTGTAACTTTGTAACCCAAGTCGCCTACCGTGGTTATACTTAGCTCATACATAATTGTGTCATACTTCCGCCGGAGTTAACACATATAACTTGGTAAGAACGCACATCATCTACTGCGGAAGCTGGCATTGGGAAGACTTCACATCAGCGGGATATTTACACTTCACGAAATCGCACGGGTGCTTTCAAGTGGACCTGGTTTGTCCACAGGGCTTCTCTGCGCATTTCACATCTGCTTTACAATCTCGAAGCTTTGATCTACGTTGCGATCTCCTGACTGATATGTAGACACTTCGTGCATCTGGGTACGGAGCTTGCGCATGAACGGTTGACAAGCCTGACTCAGGTTTGGACGATGGCGGTGGAGGCTAGGAAGGTGAAGAACGGTATGGAATACAGGGTGTCTGCCAAGCTCACATGATCCTGCGTTCATTGTCACACCGAGCAGGCGCGTTGTTAAAACTAATCTAACTAAACACTTCATGAATGCAGCAGCGGCTTTAACTGCACGTTTGGAACCCACGCGCCCTCAACCATCTACTTTGCAAGTCCTTCGCCTGCGGGAAATAGCTTCTGGCGATCTTCAGGCTCCCTGCAAACATCAGAACCTGCGAGCATGATGAGAGCAATAGTGAAACTCCTGTGGCGTTCCTTCCCGTGAAGTCTCGAAGACAACAAACAACTAAAGTCTGAACTCCTAGCATCCCTCTTGTAACTGCTATACTTCTCCCCTATGTAAGGAGTCTAGACCAGAGCTTACATGACTATCGTAGAGCTGGCACAGCGGAACTGCGACAAAAACTGGCCAGCACAGATCTGCCTGAGCTCCGATACCTAGGTGGGCCACTGTCTCTTCCACAAAATCAGGGGTACCTTTTGTAAGGGTCCCCAGAATAAGGATTATCATATATTGAGTCTAGACTGGGATCCCCCTATTTTAGGGGACTATCGAATTTTGCTGTTGCTGGCACAGCCTAACATGGTAGACGTGTGGCATGAAGCGTCCTACACCTCAGTATGCCGCATCCCCTGCGTAGGCACCCTATCTTCATTCCTCTCCTAGTCGACCAACTGGTAGGTCATGTCTGCGCTCACTGACTCAGGAAGGGTCATGCTGTACACAACGAGGGGCTAATCGCAATGCGCGCCCCATACTTCTCGACGGCTAATGCGGCAATCTCCGCAAGCACCGTCATGGCACGCAGCAAATATTAGAGCTACTAGTGACTAGATTATAAGAAGCGATTAACTTCTTTTCTTGTCAGGGTCAGCTGAACCCAACCTCAGCTTCAGCAGCTGCTCTGCGCGTTGAGTTGAAGTTGAACTGTGATGCTGTCTGTGCTTAAGTGTACGACTTCAGCTTGCGTTGCGTGCTCTCCCATTGCATGATCCTGTGCGTCCAACTGCTAGCAAAAAGCGGACGGGACATCGCTGCTGAAGAAAGTAGCAAATACTGTCAAATCAGCAACAGGCCCCAAGCAATTCCAGAGCTTTCTACATATGTGCTTTAGGGCACGCATGCATGTTCCAAAACGAGGTAGCAGACTCCGACGCAGCGTCGTCCACTTCCTCAGGCTCAACCTTCCGTTTGGCTGGAAGGGATTGTCTTGGAAGGCCCATCAACACCACGCCTTTCAGCATCACTTCATTCCTCGAAGCAAGCAGGCTTCCCATCTTTTCTCAATGGCACAAAACTTTGGTTCAACAGAAAGCTGCAGGTCTTCAGCTTCTGACTAGCTTGAATCTTATCGAGCACCAACTGTTAAAGCGTCCAGCTGCAGAATGCTTCAGAGTTCTTTGGCAGGCAGTGATCATCAAGTTTAAAAAGGGCTTGCTGCTTTTCAAGTGCGCTCGCAAACGCTAACGTCATGGCATCTACTAACCATGATCGTCATAAAAGCCTCATGATACTCTTCATTCATGTATCCCTGTCAGTCAGGGGCTGCCATCCCCAAACTTCCCCTTTGCACCTAACCCTTGGGTACACTAGCCCAAAATCCCAAATTCATAAAATGTGAAGCTACTAAGTCTTAAGTCCGCAAAACCCTTAGGAATTTGAAGCCATGCTTGACGGGTCAGGGGGACTTAGCAAGTAGGTCAACAATATTCAAGAATGTTACATGACTTGTGGGGATTACGAGTATGCCGTATACCTACTAAGTCCCCCTGACTCTCCAGGTCCAAGTAAGCCCCCAAACCCTTTTTTTACAACAGGCTTTCTGAGTCCACCCTAAAGCATAACCCCTCCCAACTGGTCCCTCCTGGCCTTCTGCGTGGGGGCACGCGCGGCACGCCGTGCGGAGCGCGTGAGCTGCGCCTCCTGGCTTAAACCTTCCCTTCCATGATCTGTCCAGGGGTTTTCACAAATTCTATGTCCCATTCTGGGGGTCTTGAAAGCAAGGACTATGTTCTATGGCAGTCAGGGTACACAAGGGGACGCCGCATTCTCGGAAACCCCTATCTGGGTTTAGCCGCCGGATCCCATCTCGGCAAAATAGGAGGTCATGAAAGCTCTGAAGCCTGAGCTTGTGAATATAGTCCTTATCATTGGGACCCCCAAAAAAGGTATCAAAAGACCGCAGCATGGGATGCAACATCAGATTTGTAGTGAAGACTTCAACACGCATGCATTGCAACATGCGTCTGACAAACAGGGTTTCGTATTGCGTCACTGCGCGAGGGAATCATAGAAGAGTTTTGTAAGATCTCTGGGATTAGCTACACTGTTCCAAGAAGCACCGAAACATCGCAGGCCATCTCTTGGAAGGTTTACGTTTTTGGTAAGCTCTATGTGAGGGATTTCCAATATGTGAGGGATTTCCAAAACTGGGGGTCCCCCTCGCATACTACCAAGCAGTATGATCCTTAGTACAGGAACCTCATTCCTTTCAACATGTTAACTCCACTATATCCCTTTTAATGCATCTGATTTTTGGTAAACTCCATGTATGTGTGAGGAGGGAATCAGAACGAAGAGCTGCAATAGCAGGCTGTGAAGGGATTGCGCAAGCCCTTCTTTTTCTAACCGCCATACTGGTAGCGTCACGCCGCGAAGGTTGGAAAAGGATTGCAACTGTAGAAAGGATTGTCTCTGGTCTGTCTTGCAGCACCCTATCCAGGAACCCGACATGACTCTGTTATGGTGCTGAGTCCTGTCCATGCTTGACCAGACGGAGCGTCTGAACCATAATGATGCAAGTGATACCAACAAGGATGACAGACAACAACATCTACATTGATTTTTAGTCCGTTCATCATGATGACAAACACCTGTCCGATCTGCTTCAACGA